GGCGGGCGGGGGAGGCGCCGCCGCCGCCCCGGCGGAGCCCCGGTTGTCCCGCGAACTTCGTGCCCGGGGGCGTGCGGGGGCGGGCGGCGGGGCCCCCCGGTTCTGGGGGAACGCTTTTCCAACGGGGGCGGGCGCGGCGGTGCCTTTGGCCGCCCCCCCCACCCCGCCGCATCCCTGCGCGGGCAGAGCCCCCCGGGCCGGCCCGCGCCTTTGTGCGCTCTTTCCGCGGCCGCTGATTGTTGAGGTTGGAAATGGAGAAACGAGGCGGGGGGGATGGGGGTGTTTGATTTATGGTGCCGGAGCGGCTCCGAAAGCCGCCGTGAGACGGAGCCCTCCCGCCCTTCCCCGGGATCGCGGTGCTGTTGGAGGGATCTTTAAAGAGGTGAAGGTCTGGGAACAAAAAGTCGCGCATGGGACGGGATTACGCAGCCGATTCTGGCCCAACCCGGAAGTTTATGTCGGGAACACGTGTTGGTGGGAAGGTGGCGGGGCAGCAGCCGCCGACCCCCCGTGTCTCCCGCCGCCTCCCCCGGGGGCTTCCCCGCCCTGCCGAGCCCTCAGGGGCCCCGCTGCTCCCGGGGAACTGAACCGCGGCGACAGACACGGCCTCAAAGTCCAGGGACTCTTAACGAGCGCACCTCAAACAGAGGTTGCTAGGGTGAGTAATAGTTTAACGTAGAAATGCTCCTACAGTCTGATGGGGAAGAGGCCTTTTGGGTTTTTCTGCTGTTTTTTTTGGTTGTTTCTGTATTATTTTTAGCTGACCAGGTTCCACGCTGAATTTGAGAGTATAAATTAGAACCGTTGTACTTTCTTTCAGGTACTCATAGGCTGGTTCTACGTGTTTGATACCTGTTAAAGATGAGGCAGATTTTGTGAATGCTTAAAAATAAAACCCTTGAATTGTTCTGTTAGGTAACTCCAGAGTGAGTAAAAAAAAAAAAAATTAGTGTGATCAAACGGCACAGTGTGAAGTTAGGAATTAACTCAGTGGTAGACTATTTGCCTTTAGACTACCAAGGTTCTGTCTGGATTAAAATTATTTAAAAACATACATTAATGTTTTGTAAGCTGCCCTCCCCCAAAATGAAAATCTGTAGTTGATGTTGTAAAGCAAGAATTGAAATTGTGTAACAGCGTGACATTTGAATTGGTATTCTGTATCTCCCTCACTGCCATGAGATGTTATATTTGTATGCAATCTTAATATTTAGAAATAAAATGTGGGCAGTTTGTCTTTTTGTCCAAACTACTCTGGTTTCAAAAGTGGCTGAGAGCCACTGTAAAAGCTGTTGAAGCAGGTCATGGATATCGGTAATGGTGCTTTGAGACACACCTGGAACTGCCTCCCAGGCTAAAACTAAGGATCCTGGTGCTCACATGCTGCTCTTTTTCTTTGAGATTTTACTTCTTAAAAACTTCCACTGCTGGCCAAATTACCAGCTCCAGCCTTTTAGTCTGAAAGCAGATTTCATGCCAAATTATTGCATTGTTAAGTCTTTTAATATTTTCAGAACTTGTGAATTTCACATTTGCAGACTGTGTAATATGGCAGTTGTAAATTTTGTAGAACAGTCATTAAAAAACATTGAGGCACATTTGAAGCCCACAGTTCCCTGAAGTGTCCCTCGTGTCCTTGAAAGCTTTGAGTGGTAACCAGCCTTGGAAAAATGGGAATGATTTTTCCAGGATCTGAGTTAACTTACGGTTTTTGTGAGAACACCTTTGTACGTGTGAATGCAAAATTAACTGCTAGTCTTGAGGTTAAGGCATGGAAGCATGAGTGAGTTCGTTAATTAGGGCTTTGCTCTTTGATTGGATGGTGACTTGGAGAGGACCAGAAGGGGTTGGGTTGGTTGAGGTTTTTTTGTTTTTTTTAACTGTTACCCAGGTTGCCTTCTGGAGACAAAAGCTGTGAAATGAGCAGATCCCACGTGGCTATCCAGAGAATCCTGTTGGGTGGGATGGGGCTCAGCAGCCCTTACACCTCTCTCTGAGAGGCTGCAGAGGGAAATGTGAAATTTTCAGGTCAGTAATAACTCATGGTTTAGACAGGCAGAAAATTTTCAGGGCAGAGCTGCCTTGTCTCTACAACTCCAGTATTTGTGTGATATTTTAAATGGCTTCCAGTACAGCTCAGGTGGCAGGTATTCCCCAAAAAGGCAGTGGGAAAACCTTTCCAGTGCAAGAACAGAAGTTGCTGAATGCTGTTTGTGTCCCAGGCAGGCATTAACACCCAGCTCTGCAGCTGGGTGCACCACAGAGCCCAGGTGTCCGAAGGGCCTGGGAATAGCAGTGCCTGCTCCATTGGGATGTTTGGTTTGGACCAACTTATGATACTGTAATTGATTATGGTTTTTAAATAAGCACTAAAGGCATGCAGTGTTACAATGTGTAACTCACAGACCTGGAAATCAGAAGGCTTTTCATTGTTTGGGGTTCTACCATTATGTTTCTCAGGGGAAACGGACAGGTTGCTCGACATGTGTTTTAGGATCTTTTTTTTTCTTTTTTTTTTGTTTTGTTTCTTTGTACCAAAGCTAAAATGGAAGGAGAGAGAGAGCCAGGTTGGCATGGATACATGACATGATATTAAACATGGCATTCTGGTTTTGTATCTTTAAATCAGGAATTATTTACATAATGTGCAGTGAGCACAAAACTGCCTCTTTATCAAAGTTTTAAGCTATGCTCTTTGTCAGGAAAGCACCTTACAGAAATGTTTGGTGTGTTTTGGTAGCCCTTCTTGAAATAGCAGCAGTTTGTTTTTCTTTATACAAAGAAAGTAATTAAGATATTACTACTTTTGAAATGTTATAAATACGGGTTTTTTTAGTTTCATTGAATAGGCTGATTCTTGCTCAGTGACATTGGACTACCTCACTAAACATAGACAATCTTATCTGCAAGATTCTACATGCTCAAAACAGTTCTTTGAGTGATGAAATGCTCAGGGAACAGCTTGTAATATTCACAACTTTTTAATAAGTATTTTCTTTCGGAGATTTTGAAGATGTGGCAAACAGGTCCTTATATAGTATTGCCAAGGCTGAGCTGCAGAGCTTGATAAAGTCACTTTCACTTGTGTTAGCTGAGGAGCCTCCTACCTTGCAAGATTATGGAGCTGGTTCAGCCTGATAATGTTTTAAGCTTAACCAGCATGTGCTACATAAAATAAAATGTTATCACAATGCAGCTTCCCCTATATATTTTTTCTTCCTCATTTAATTTCCTTGCTAAATTAAAATGAGGAGGGTGGGCAGCATTGGTGCTTGGAAGTTGCACAAAGCCTAAAATTGGTGCTAAGTATTCAGTGACTTCTAATGTAAAAATTCTAGAAGTTCAGAATTCCTTTTGTTCCAAACAATGCAGCTTTGTTCCTACTGTACAGAAACAAAATAAGTGAAACTAGTCAAACTTTCATTGTCTAAACTGACAGACAAACAATTGCTGTTGTTTTACTGAGCTTTTTGCTGGGTTGTGAGCAACCATGAATTTTTAAGACTTAAAATTTGGGGTATCAGGAGAGGGGTGCAGCTGGGGGATTTCTTACATGAAAACAGCCTCACTAGAAAGGGATGCTTCTAAACTGGAGATATTTACTCTGAAATTGTAGGAATTGCTTTGCTAGTTTCTATCACCAGTCATTTACTGAAAACTTTGATATAAGCAACTAATTCATTACTGCTATGAATTGGTTTTTTTCTGAACTTTGAAACTTTTAAGGTCTCAGCCATCATGTTTTTAAAGGTTAAACATGAAGAGGTCAGTGGCATTGTGGAAATGTTAAACTGGACTTGAAACAGATAGAATGGGTCGTGACACCATTGTAGGGTGGCTGGGGAAGATGTGTTTTTTGTGGTGTTGGTGTGGGTTTTTCTTCTAGCTTTGGTTTTGCTTTGAGTCCCAACTTCACAGAAAGGCCTTTCATTCCTGTATTGTGAAAGCAGACTAAGAGTTCTTGAGTCGTTTTATTTTCCCTTAGTTGTGTTAAGTGAAAAGCCCCAAGCTTCTTCCTTTTTGTGCCTCTATTTAGTCTAGTCCCTTAACTCTCAACCAAGTTTTAGTCATATCTTTGTTTAGCAGTGGGGTGATCACAACTCCATACAGACTAAAGAACGACTTAACTGATGGTTTTTCTATTGTACATTTATGCATTTTAGTTTATCATACAGCTGTGAACAAAGGTGTTGCCCTGTGTGGAAGGGTGCTCATGCCTCTTTCCCAAATGGATACTGTGCAGTTATGATTTTAAAGTGTTTTGGAGCTGTTTTGATGGGGTGACCTGTGTTAATTCCCCTTCTGTAGAGAAATTCATTTTCAGTAGCTGCTCTCAAATGCTGAACACCAAAAGTACTGATAAGCAAAATTTCATCTGCAGACTTAAACCTTTCTTCCCTCAGCTGTTTCTGCTTAGTAAACAATGCTGCAAGCTTCTGAACTTGGATGTGATGGTCACTGTTAAGATTTTAGTCTGATGAAAATTAAGTATTTATCCTACCTGATTAGTGTGTCTATATAGTCCCCTTTTTTGAGAGAGGAAGCACAATCTTTCTGGAATGAAAGGTGAAACTAAAAGTTAGGTCTTACCACTTTTGTTGACCCATTCAGGATTCTGGGAGACAGGCTAGTGGGTGGTGACATCCTTTAATGGTGCTGCCATATCAATTAAGTGTGCTAGATGACTTAATACTTCTTAATATTTTCTGTACCTCATAGTAACAAACAAGGCCATTCTGCCAGTTTATTTGGTCACCTCAAATGCCTTTAAGAGGAGTCTGGTTCTGACAAGCAAGTGGTGTTTGGGGCTGTGTGTAGTCAGTAGCAGTCCCACCAGTTGTTTGTTGCTTTGATATTATTTGGAGCATCTTTAAGGCTTTGATACATTAAAATGTATCTTCCCCTTGTCTCGGTACCTTGCACTTGTGGTGCCACCATCTCAGCATGAATCCACAACCAAAAGGTTTCTCCCTGCTATTGTACAGACTAAAACTGGGAAGAGTAAGAACTAAGTGCCTGAGGCTTAGCTTATTACAAGAATTACCTGTTCTGCTAAAAGTGCTGAGGAATATGTGTCACCAGCCAGCTGGATGTGGCTCAGCTGTGCATGTAGAAGGGCTAAGCAAGGGAATGCTGATCTGGAGTCTTGTGAATGAACATCTAAAATGCCAACTAATAATGTTGTCCTCTTACCTATTTAGAGTAGGTGTTTGGCTTCATTGGGTTTCAATGTTTTATTCCCAGTGGGTGTTAAGAGGTGTGGAGGGTGAGTGAAATTAAGATCTGCTTTAGGTATATTTTAGACTGTATAAGCAACAGCTCAAGTTCTGTGAAATAATTTAATTTTTTTCTTAATACTAAGGCAGATGGGTTTCCTTCTTAAGCAAGTGAAATGTGTTATCTCCTCTCTTC